AAAAAAAAAAAAAAAAAAAAAAAAAAAAAAAAATCCAATAAAATTGTTGCTTTTCTTTACGAATTTTGTTGAAAAACTATTGCCAAAGTACTTTGATACTAATATCTGTAATACCAAATTTCTGCAAATGCTAATACTGTAAGCTCGTTTACAATGCAGCAGAACGAAAGTTATATACAAGCAGAGTAAAGCCTAGTAATGGTTATTACTAATTAAAATTTATTATTTACATTCTGCAGATCGAAATGTGAATAAGTGGGATAGTTATTGCTGCTATTTGTCTACAACTTTGGCAGCAAAATCAATTTTGTTTAATAAAACTGTATATTGTGACGTATTTACGTTGCTGCAAACGAAGTTCGACTAGTCATCCTATGATCAATAGTTCTGCTGCCCTTTCGTTTTTTTGGTAGTTCAGCTCACTGATTTGATTATCAGCCCAAAAATCCCTGCAGTTTTGCGCTAACTGTTGGCATTCGGCGGATTAAGTTATATGAGTATACTGTTGTTCGGCTAATCATTTGCAGCTTTCTACCAAACCTTATGATCTCTGCTTATTTTGTTAGCCTTCTTTCTCTTTCCCTTTGCTTTAGTGCCGACCTTTGCTTCCAATTTGCCACTTCCTAATAGAATGGTTGTTATTCCTCTGTGTCTCACCGTTTTTTCGACCAACCAAATAGCCGCTGGGTTTCTGAAACTTTTCATTGATTTTATTGCTGACAGTATTCAAACCTCTCACCAATCACAATTTCATTCTTCTTTTTTCAGAAGAAAGACCGCAACAAAGACAGAAATTTGCAATAATGTCTGCAAAAGTGAAAAAAAACGACAAACCGACATCCTCCAGCAAGAACCAAAATTTTAAAAACAAAATTTGCTTTCAATCTCTATTTTCCAACTCACTGTCCGTCTCTCTGATTAAAAAAATCAAAATATCAACACATAAATTAGTGATATAATTAAGACCTGTAAAATTTTTTGTTTTGTTTTCAGCTTCACAGATGCAGCTAGAATCATAAAGCTAGGATACTCACTAATTCCGTGCAAATATTCAAATCAGTCTCACTTTACTGTCTATTGCGCAAAAATTTCATTGTAATCAGCAAAAAAAAAGACGTACTAATTTTACATCTAAAACAACACTTTATCAATTATCTGTTTTATTTAAATATTACACAGAAAAGACTGCACAAAAAAGAAAGGAGCAAATGTTACTGTTTATTCATTAAACAATAAGAAAACAGAACTGTAATGAGCATCGTTAGCGTCATTTTCAAATATTTATTGAAAAAAAATAATAAAAGTAAAAAAAATATATCGTACAGTTTTATTTTTTTTTACTTTTTATTCAATTATTTTCTCTTTTTTTTTGCCGATTATAAATATTATTGAAGAAAAGGAAGCAACTGAAATGCAACATATACTAATAGATAGTGAGGTACTAAACTACAAAATGCGGTAATAAACCATTAATTGTCGTTGTGGTGAAACTAACCAAGTGTGAAAACTTAAGTGATTAGAGCTATAAGTTAGTGAAAAAAATTACGTAACAGCGTACAAAACTACAAAGAAAATTCTAAAATTTACCGGTACAGAAACAATAAGTAACTCAGCAAATTCATTTTCTCAATTTTTTCCTACTTTATTCATTTTCAAATATCTA